CTGTGTCATAAAAAGGGAGAAACATAGTGTAGTACTAGAATTTCGCCTGGAATGGGATACGTTAATCGTTTGCTTGGGACCAATAGGCTAGTCAAGTAGTGAGCCAATTTAAAATCGTTAGTTTCGAATTGATTGTTGGTAACAGGTTGTATTGACTATCAAAAGCAACAGCAAACGCACCGAGAAACGTTAATTCTAGCGAGTTATTAACAAAAGAGAAAATCGACGAAGAGAATCGATCATCGCGTATACGTCCTTATGCATGTGGATAATGTGCGTAATTTTGTCATCAGAAAATGAGGCGTTTTCGTTAATCTTACTTACTTCGCTAGTTTCAAATAACTTAATCACTCGGTGTAGTTTGAGGATGGGTTTTCATTTCAAATTTCAAATAGAGTTGCGAACTTGTGGTTGTTCAATGCTTGATGTTGCATTTCAGTGTACTGCCCACCACAGTGTACTCAACAAATGGCGGTAATGTTTTAGCGGCGATGTTTTACAGTGAGAAATATTCAACGTGTTATGTCTGTTTGTCTGTGCTAAAATGATCGAATTCATCAACAAAAGTTTTTGATTGAAATCAATAGTATGCTAATTGTTTTTCAATAGCCATTCAGTTGAATTCTCAAGAATACATAAGGACGAGGATAACACGGAGAGCCTTGAATAAGTACGAACTATTTAATGGTGGATTGACAAACATAAGACGGTCCGAAAAGTTGTGGATCACCTGTGCTACCGAAGGGAAGAAAAGAGTTAAGAATAATTCAAATTTAGGACGTCACAAATGTAAAAAATAATTTTTTCTCACAGATTAAGTCGTATATTGAACCGCTTGCAAAGTAATTTTAATATTGCACGTACCTATAGGCACACTTGGCATACACTGTTTTGGTCACGAACTGCTCATTTGCTAATAACTTCACACACAGTTGACGTAACATAGTTCTTTTTGAAGCAGTAGATAGAATAGAGTTTAAGCTAGTTCTAGTAATAAACTGTATTTATTTTTGCGTTGTAAAAATGAAGTGAGAAATGTTCGCTGCACATCTCAGACTTAGGCTCTGAACCATTTGGTGGATTATTTTAACTTTTGGTTAAAATTTGACAGATGGAAAGTTATCGATGAACCCTGCTGTCCGAGCTTTGTTATTTCTGACAGACAAGAAGTTAAATTTTGACAACCGTGGCTCGAAAACCGGTCGATCGACAGCACGGGGATTTTCGAACATAAGAAATAACTTTCGAAATGTCACTTTTAACTACGAGTTAAATTTAACTCGGCAAATGGTTCACAGCCTTAAAGTGTAAAAATCATTGGCGTTGATTCAAATGTTAAGATTTACCTACTATTTGCATATCTATAGTAAACTATGATTCTAATCTATCAATTACTTTAAAGAAAATTTTCGATAAAATCACGCCTATAGGGCCTCCACTTTTGTAGGTATAATCATTTTTTTTTGCATTATATACGATTTTTGACGTAGGACTACGTCTTGGATTACTATATGGGGGTACACTTTGTGAAAACCGAAAATTGGACATGTAACAAATTAAGAAAATTTTTGAACGTTAATAACTCAGCTGCCCCTGGTCCAATTTCAATAATTTTATCACCAATCGATCAGAAATATGGCTACGCATCGATAAAAATGCTTCCGAATGTTGATTTTCTACAAGGAACTATTGAAAAACTGGTAAATGTCCAGCATTGTCCAAAAGCGATGAACTAACTAACAAATCCACCAATTACCTACATGCATATGCTGCTTCCCCAGCACAGTCGTCAGAGAGTAGTAAGTAGACGAAACAAGTCGAAGTGGCATTCGCCTCCGATCCTCGGGCGCGTGGATGGAATTGCGTAATATTTTGTACACTCATCGCCATATTCAGAACCAAACGCAAATTCTTCGAGATAACCACCATCCGTCGTCTGGCTCGCCGTGGCGGTGTCTGACGTATCTCCGGTCTGATTTACGAGGTGTGCTGAAGGTGTTCCTGAAAAATGAGATCCGTGATGCTGTCACCTACACTAAACACGCCAAGCGTAAGCGGCCATGGATGTCATCTACGTTTTGAAGTGCCAGAGACGCACTCTGTTTGGTTTCGGAGGTTAAATCATCACCAACTTTGGCAACAAAACGGCTCTTTTCAGGGCCACCAAGCTTATTACAGTAAAGAGTAGGAATAGAATTCATCTGCCTGTTTGTCCATATTTAGAACCAACGACCACACAAAATGCTCATGTAATCAAACTGGAAGCAGGGGTACAAATGATTTTGATCAACTTTGAATCGCCACGGCCGGATATTTTCGATGGAAGAAGGTACAATCTAGCATCTAATTCGACGAAGACGGCAGGAAACATTTGTAAAGCTGAGTTATTTACGAAATAGAGTGTCGATGAAGAGAATCGATCAATGTAGATAGGACCTATTGAAAAGAGACGCGAGATTTGTTTTCCGTACTGAGCTCCAATGCTACCGACGCCAGAGAGGCAGCTCCCACACCTGGACCCTACCAATCGACCCAACAACTCAACCGGAGACCAACGGCTTTACTTCCCGAAGAAAGGCGTGATCAGAGATGTTATGCCTTAGAACATGCCGATGGCCCCGACTGAGATTGGACCCAGGCCTACTGGGGTGAGAGGTAATCACGCTAACCACTACACCACCGGCACCGATATCTTTCAAGGTGATATCACGGCGAATTAGAACGACCCAAATTTGAGTTTAGTCAACTCATAAATCACATTAAGTGCAGGAACTCAGCGATGAGTAAATTTGCCTCATGTTTTCCCAGGTTTTTCCCTCATTTTCTGGCAGATTTTTTAGGTTTTCCACAGGAAACCATGAGACAAATTTTACTCATCGCTGAGTTCCTGCACTTTTGGCGATTATGAGTGAACTAAACTCAAATTTGGGTCGTTCTCATTCGCCGTGTATGCAAAAGGAAAAGAGCCAGTATCGCTAAAGGAAAAGAGCCAGTATAGCAAACTACTCATAATGGGAGGAGTCTTTGTAGCTTTTATACTACTTGGTTGCACATCATTCTGCTTTAACCTGAAAAGATATAAAAGAGCCCTGCTGTATGGCATTAGCTCATTTTCACTTCGGACGGCGTGGTGAGCAGCAATAGCAGCAGTAGGAAGGTGGTGGCTAGTCCACTCCTTCACACCCAACAAGCAACAATTGACTGGTCGTGGTAAAGGAGGAAAAGATCTGGTAAAGGAGGTGCCAAGCGTCATCGTAAAGTTCTTCAAGATAACCACCATCCGTCGTCTGGCTCGCCGTGGCGGTGTCAAACGTGTCTCCGGTCTGATCTACGAGGTGTGCTGAAGGTGTTCGTGGAAGGTCCGTGGTGCTGTCACCTACACTAAACACGCCAATCGTAAGTGGCCATGGATGTCCTCTACGGCTCTTTTCAGGGCCATTAAGCTTATATCAGTAAAGAGTTGGATTAGAATTTATCTGTGCCTGTTTGTCCATATTCAGAATCACAAGCCCCCAACGACCACACAAAATGCTCTCCAGAGTTGTAATCTTGTAACCAAACAGCAGGGAAGCAGGGGTGCAAGTGATTTTGATTGATTCTCTTCATCAACTTCTCTTTGAAAAAAATTACTACAAATTTGGTAACCCTACAATTCAAAAACGGAAAGAGTTGAGATAATAGACAATTGATCAATTAAAAGAACCTAATGCTCTTCACATTTATTCCGTCCACTAGCGGTCCTACGTCAAGCTTCCGTTCGTGCCCCTAGGCACAGACCCTTCTACTTTTTTTTCAGAAATTTTTAATTCTTTTTAGCATTTACAGGGAATCAAGAGGTGATAAGAATTATCTTGGAAGCATTCCTTAGTTTTCGCTTGAGGTTCTCCTAAAACCTACTTTAGATATCTCCTCAAATCTGAAATGTTATTCCAGTCAGAACTCTCTTAGAATACTCCTCAGGATTCGTTTGGAATTATACTCAGAAATCCATTAGTCGCCTCCAAATTCTACATAAATTATCATTGAAATTCTCGAAGCATTGCCACGAAATGCCAGAATCATAAGTATTTCCTTCAAGCTTTGAAAATTTTCTAAGAACAATACACAGGGGAAATGGATGTAATGTTGGCCTAAATGCCCCTAATTCGCGCCCATACATAAATTCAGCAATCGTCTAAATTTTCAATTGCGACCAAATAATATCCATAAGTACCGTCTCAATGACGCGTTCATCTAGCTAAAATTGATAAATAGCAGATTTTTAGCAATAGGCCCAATCTTACATCCATAGGCCAACATTAGAGCCAATTCCTCTACCTTCATATTAATAATATCAAAAATTTCTAAAATTTTTACTCTGACATTGAATGCTCAAAAAATCCCCAAATTTGAATTGGGTTCTTTAATTTTGATAAAATATATCAGTGATGTATCCTGAAAGAGTTTCGTTTTTATATTTTTGCGAACCCATAGACTTTCATCTCGATTTTTAAATTAGGATTGCTGCTTGGCACTAAACTATCAAACTCAATCCGATACAAAGTCCCACCGAGGGGCGCTAAGATGGTGATGTTTTCTTATGTAATCGCGTCTATTTAAAACAGTTCCTGTGTTCCAAAATTGATGAAATTTTGGATTTCGGTTCCCTTTTCAATGCAGATTACGAATATGGATTTACCTCAATACCCTTAAAGAAACCAATTAAAAAAAATCTTGAAAATTTGTCCATCGCTTACATTATGAAAACTTCCTGAAGTTTCAGAATATAAAAATTCTGACCCTTTCTCAGACCTTAAGCGTGGTATGCAGCTAAAACGAAAACGGAAAATTATTTTTTGAGGATTATTCCCGAAAGAATATTTGACATCTATTAGGGAGGTGTATTTTGCTACATTTTGAGATCATAGCGAGGTGTCGTCAAATTTTAAAATCAACAATAATCAGTTTTTATGACGGAAATTTTATAACGCGCCAATTTCCCTGCTCCCCTTTCTTTCCAGTCATCCTAAAGGATGCCAACCTGGAGGAGACGGCCGCCAAGAAGGTGCGGCTCCAGCTGGAAGCCAACCTCAAGTGTGACCTGTCCGCCCGCAAGAAGGAAGTGGACGACCTGGTAATGGAGTACGTCAACGCCCAGGACGAATCCGGCGAGGAAGACGAGGAAGACGACGACGAAGAGGAGGAGGAGGAGAAATCTCCGAAGAAGAACAGCAAAAAGCCAGCCGCCAAGAAGAAGGCCGACAGCGAAGACGAAGACGAGGAGGACGAAGAGGAAGAGGAAAATTCAGAGGACGACAAAAAGAAGAAGGGCAAACGCGGAGCGCCAGCCAAGCGCAGTGTCCCGCCCAAGAAGAAGAAGCGCGGTTCGGACAGTGAGGAGGAATCGGAAGGCTCGGAGGAGGTTTCCGATGACGATTACAAACCGACTAAAGGACCTAAGGGCGCTGCCAAGAAGGCGGGCCCCGGCCGCAAGAAGAAGGGAGGCTCGGATTCCGACTCGGACGAAGACTGGAAGCGATCGAAGCCGAAGGCCAAGAAGGCGGCCCCCGGTGCCAAGAAGGGTGGCGGAAAGGGAACCGGCTTCACCCGGCCGTACAACCTTTCGCCGGAGCTGGCGGCCATTTGCGGGGCGGAGGCACTGCCACGGCACGAAGTAGTCAAGAAGGTCTGGACCATCATCAAGGAGCGCAATCTGTACGACCCGAAGAACAAGCAGTACGCCATCTGCGATTCCGAGCTACAGAAGGTGATCGGGGTCAAGCGGTTCCGCACGTTCGGCATGCTCAAGTATTTGAAACCGCATTTCCTAGATTAAGGGGAGGTTCGTCGGTCGCTGCTAGGAGTCACCTTTCCTTTCCTTGCTGCTTACAGAATTATTCTTAGAAAGCGAAACGTTGATTGTAGTGTAAAATTGGAGGACTTCTTCCAAGTAATTGTAACCGAGCAGCCGCAGGAAATCCGTGCGGTGCGTTTTAAGCGAAAGATGGCGGCGGTAAAGGACAGGCATTTTTGGCGATCGGTTCTGGGGGGATTAGCTTCCTGGGGGTGAACGCAATCCTAATACCTATAATACATTGTGTATTAAAACCAGTCTAATTCAACTATATTTTTAAACATTTCAACTACAATATCAATCGATCGAGGAGAAGACGAATGACGAGGACGATGCAGGAGAAAAAGAAGAATAAAAAGAACACTAGATGATTAATTAGAGTGCTAATTTTAAGTATATGGGAGTTTTAGCGACCAGATAATACACAAAATTTAGTTTGACTGTGTAAGAACGTAAATCGTGAGTTTCTACGAGTAACGATAATAAACTATCAACTTACTGGAAAATAACCATTTTTATCTGTTTGATCCTTTAGGTCAGAAATTACCCCCAAGTCTGTTTTTGAGGTTCCGGGTCATTTGGCATATGGTTGTAAATTGATAATCGAAGAACTTATGCTGCCGCATTTCATTACATGTTAAGAACCTTGACTAAAGGGGCGAACCCTTTAGTACATTTTTAAAATCTTCAATATATATAAATTGATTAATAGCAACTATATCTATAAATAAATTTCGTATAACATGGATAAATATGCTGAAGAAATTGATCTCGAATTAATTTTCTAGAGGGATAACGGATTTTAGTTAATAATTGAACAAAAAGCACTTTTTTGGTTGCATTTGCTACGCCAAAGGTTCTACATTAATTAAAACATAAAAACTCCAAAGAGCTGCTCATGTTTCAAAGAAGGAAAACTCTTCCAAATTTATTAAATTCTAATTGTTTGAAATGTTTTGAATGTTTCAAGAAGGAAAAATCTCCTAAATTTATTAAATTAAAATTTTTCAAAATTGTACCGGAAGCTGCATCTGCTGTGCCAAAAATAGCTAGTAGGAAATCAAAGCAACCGTATGGCGCGTGCTCAAAACGTACAGGGAAACCTTGACGACGAATCGGAAGCCTCGAAGTAAGCGCCGGTGTGGAACTGCCAACCGTCAGCTCCATGAAAAGGTCGTGAGGTCCATCAGAAGCAACCCAGGTATGTCCGATGGCAATTTGAGTAAAAAGTATGATTCCGCCCATAGTACAGTGCAGTGAATTCGCTACCCTGAAGGCTTACAGGTCCCAGTAGGCAAACAAATCGATCACTCAAGCAGAACATCGTAGCTAGAACCCGTGCTCGAAAGCTGTATGACAACTTGCTGAACAAGTCCGGTGGGTGCATACTTATGAATGATGAAACCTATGTAAAGGCCGAAGCCGACTTCGGACAGCTTCCAGGACCAACATTTTAAAAAGCGAAAGCTCGATTTTAATTTGTTTTTGCGGATAAATTCGCACGTAAATATATAACCTGCCCGGGAATTTGCAGTTGCGGTCAGAAGACAAAGGTTTTCGTCACTGAGAAAATGGTGAATGGTCCGGTGACATTTTGGCCGGATCTTGCGAGTTGTCACTACAGCCTGGAATTACAACAATGATAAATGACAACGGAGTCCAGTTTGTTCCGAAAACCTTCAATCCACCCAATTGTCTCCAGTTCAGGTCCATTGAAAACTACTGGGCAATTATGAAGAGGAAACTGAAGGTACAAGGTGCAGTCATCAAAACGGCAGCTCAGATGAAAAATTGGTGGGATAAAATCACCAAAACAGTGGACGAGACCGTTGTGCGCCGCTTGATGGAAGGGAAAATTCAAGAATTCCTCCGAAATCGCGACGAATAATTTGTTTCGTATTTTTTTCTTACAGTAAAAGGAATAGGATGCACTTGAGTGAAAACCGTTTTCAAATCCGTCAATTTAACCGAAATAGACCCAAATGATGTTTTATTACTAAGTTCATCTTTCCGTTCGAGTTCTTTGTTTGCTTTAGTTGGAGAGGATTTCTAAAGATGCCGGGGGCATTTTCTTCCTCCATCGATCACGTTACGACTTCGTTGCTGCACACATGCAAGGAGTCAGTAATTCAAATAGACATCGAGTCAGAATCTTGTGGAACGGTCGAACGGTTCCTTCAATATATACTGTTTGATAACTTCCAGTTTCCAATTTAAACACAATCACAATTGTCATTATAACTTCAGGGTTGCCAAAGACACCTTGATTAGCACACTTCGGCACGTTCGGCATAGCGCTTGGCACAGCTTTCAGCACAGATTAAGGTGTGAAGAGTTGGATACCCCTTGGTCAGACTCCTCATATTCTGAACAAAGAAAATTTTATAGGGCTGAAGAAAATGTTCAATTCCTGGACCATAACAAAATAATAATCCAAGCTTGACCAAAATTTTAAGATTTTGGAACCAAGATTCAGATGCCGGATCTTGAAATGATTTGAAACATCCCAGATTTCTAAGGAGTATTCTGAGAGAGTTCTGACTGGAATTTCATTTTAGATTTGAAGAAAACTTCAAGAAATCTATGCAATGCTTCCAAGATAATTTTGAGGACCTTTTGATTCCTGGTAAATACTCAGGAGATTTCCAAGGTACTTCTGAGAAAAAATCATAGGTAGTTTTAACAAAAAATCAAAGAGAAGAAGAGCTTCAATAAGCTATTTTGATGCACCTCCAATGTAGAGTACGCTAGGCAATTTTGGGAGGAAATGTCATCCAAACCGTTTGTTTACATAATAATGACAACCTTTGAATAGAAATCTCCGCGCTAAATGGCCATAGTGATACGAAGTCATACGCCACCTCTCTATCTACTCAATCTTCAAACTCATATATTTACAAAGCGAATCTTCAATCCCGGGGAACACAAACCGGCGATCGACCTGTGCCAGTTCCGCATAAGTGATGGCTAAATCCTCCCTGAAGCCAGCTTTCTTCGCGGCAGCTTGCGATCCAGGCCCAGTAAAGCAGGTTGAAGTCAGCTCTAGGCCCACCCCTTTGCAAAGTGGAACTCGAGCCTTGAGCAATTCGGTTGCTATGCCCCGTCCCCGGTAGCTTGGATCAACCGAAAGCCCCATCGCATTCAGATAGCAGTCCACTCTGTAGCGTTCGTACACGTTGGCCTGCTGCGATACGTAGCCAATGGTGTCAAAGATTGTTTGAAAGGTGGCGCTTGTGAACTGAAACCGAACATCTACTGTAGTCTTTTCAATGGAAATATTCCGCACTCACCTTCAATGCCCCCTTATCCGATTTGGTCGCCACCGCCAGGACGTTGACTCCGACGATTTCATCCGAACCCTCTCGGAAGCACACCAGAGACAACCTCTCCGGTAGCATGACCTTCCACAGCTGGACCACCTCCTCCATGCCTACCGAATCGTTCTCCAGCCCCTTGGCTTTGTTCAACTGCTCATCCCGAGCAAAATGTCTTTTCATGTGCTGAACTGCATCCTGGAATCGCTCCACCGGAAGATCCTGAACCGAGTACCAAACCAGCAGGTCACTATCGGGTGCTTTGGCTTGAAACCGATGCCAAACCTTGGGAAAGGGAACGTCTGCTGATCGCTTCCAAACCATCTTGAACCGTCGCCCTGCCAGAACTGAAATCCAATTCATTCTTCGAGTCTTATCTACGGCTAAATAAATTTCAATCGAATAGTCAATGATGAACGATTGTTTCCGAACGTTGATAAGATTCGTGCCTTTTGTAGTCAAGTGTACCTTCGTAGCACATATCGCACACACCCCCACAATGAGTGTAATCTTGAGCCTAATTTCCTGAGACGTCAATCTTCGAAAACCGTAACAGGCAATTTCGGAAATGATAAAGTTGCATGTTTACTTTGTTTTATTGGAAATAACGTTGTCTTAATCTTCCACCAGACTCATCATCGTCATACTCTTCTCCTGGATGCCGGGGTACGCGAAAGTTCGGTCGAATTGTCGCAAGCTCGTCATATCTACAAAGCAGAAAAGAAAAGAAAAACGTTATGAGAAAGTCATTGAAATCTTTGATCCAATCCCGCGTACGTCAGTTCCACATCCGTTTGGTAGCCGGCCTTCTCGGCAGCTCTCTGCGAACCGCAGGCGGTGAAATCCGTCACGGTCACTGGCAGGGCGAGCTCACGGCTAATGGGTACCCGGGCTCGGAGCATTTCCGTAGCGATTCCGATCCGTCGATAGCGACGGTTGATGGCAAGTTCCACGGCGTTCAGGTACCGGTCCACTCGGAGGTGTTCAAAGACGTTGCACCGTTCGGTCAACGGTCAGGTGTGGATTTCCAGGATGCCCTGGATGGATTGGCTTGGAAACTGTTGAGTAGAGATTGTTGGATGCATTGTGAAATCGCGAAAACTATTGTGCTCGGGTGTCGATCGGGTGAAGAAAAGTGCAGAAAATGAATCATGGCCGATGAAAAGTTTGTCATTCCCAAACTGAACGGTTTCAACTGGCAAGCTTGGAAGGTGCGGCTAGAGATGATGTTAGCATGTGAAGATTTATAGCACGTCGTCGAAAAGGATGTGCCGCAAGTGGAAAACATGTCCACGTTGTGGAAAAGTGAGGACTGGCAGGTGAAAGCGACCATGATTCTGCTGCTGGAGGACAGACAGCTCCCGCTAGTTCGAAACTGTATGCATGCGAAGGATCGCCCGCTGCTGGGATGAAGTTGGATAAAGATACGAACATCTGCATGTTGCTTCGTAGTCTTCAGCTAGGTAGGTAAGTCAGCTAGGGTTCCATTTCCTCGGTCGTTGACCGTTGTGCGTTCTGATGGAGGGGGAGAGTTTGACATCAGGCAACTCCGAGCGTTCTACAAATAGGAAGGAATCCACATCCCTGCCGGACATCAAGCGCAAGAAGCTCAACAGCAAAGCAATTCAGATGACGTTCACCGGGTACGCAATAGAACAGAAGGGTTACCGTTTCGTTGAGCTTCAGACGAATCAGATCACGATCAGCCACGATGCACGTTTCATTGAGCTGGGAAACGGCACGTCGTCCGTGGAAGTAACGATCCCAACAACAACAAGCAAGAAGCCAGAAGAAGAAGGAGGATTCTGATGACGACCCGGATGAGGACAGCGGATCTGCTCCGGAAGATTTTTTATTAAGCTGAGAATGGAGAAGAAGGTGCGAGTTCGACGTTCGTAGATCGGAGCGGTCGAAAACACGACCAAAGCATTTGAACGATTTTCAGCTGGACTAAAGGGTGTCCACGATGAAATTGCCACACACAAAATTGATTCGCAAAACTCGAGTTTTCATCCGATTGCCATCAAATTTTCAGGGATTGAGAAATAACTATTAAACTTCATTTTACCATTTTACTCGTATTTTATTTACAGTCCATACGCAAATGCCCGCACCTTGGCCTTAACCCCGGCCGTAAGATTCTGCACAACCTGTGAATCAACCGTTTTTTGCATGTAAACCCATACTTTCTTCAGTTTCTCGACTGTCTTCACCACCTTAGGTCGTTTAAGAAGGTGCTGCTTCATAATCGCCCAGTACTTCTCGATGGGGCGGAGCTCCGGAGTGTTGGGAGGGTTGAACATTTTCGGCACGAAATTGACCTTATTGTCCGCATACCACTTCAGCACCTCCTTGGAGCAGTGGCATGAGGCCAAATCCGGCCAGAAGATTGTTGGGACGTTGTGGGCCTTCAGGAGAGGAAGCAGCCGCTTCTGGAGGCACTCTTTTATGTACACCTGTCCGTTCATCGTGTCCTGGGTCACGAAAGGTGCACTCCGCTTCCCGCACGTGCAGATGGCTTGCCAAACCAGGAATTTCTTCGCAAATTTGGACATCTTCTGAGTGCGGACATGCTCCGGAACGCTGAACTTATCCTTGGCCGTGAAAAACAGGTTGCCGGGGATCTGTTTGAAGTCGGCCTTCACATATGTTTCGTCGTCCATGATGCAGCATTCAACTTTCGTCAGCATGTTGAGGTACAACTTCCTGGCACGGGTTTTGGCGGACTTGTTCTGCTTCTCGTCGCGATTAGGGGCCTTTTGTACCTTGAAAGTTCGAAGCCCAGCCTTAGTTTTGGCCTTCTGGACAAAACTTCGGCTTAGGTGCAGCTTCTTAGCCACATCCCTAACGGAGGCGTTCGAATTTCGGTTGAAGGCCCCAGAAGGTTTTTCCTTCACTTCTGGGCTTCCGATCGGTGATCAACCGTTCCTCGAACCGCTTAATCACTCGCGACACCGTGGAATTCGCGATTCCCAACGTTTTAGCGATGGAACGATGCGAGAGATCCTTGTTCTCGTGATGAATGCGCAAGATTTTATCACGCACGAGCTGTTCTTTCGACTCCATTTCCGCGAGTTTTGATCACAGGACTTTAAAACTTGCAGGATGTAAATAATGCACTATGAACTAAATCCACCCAAAACTTCATTAAATTTTACCCAACGGTTAAAAGGTTAGAGCAATTTCATAGTGTGGCAATTTCATCGTGGACACCCTTTACGTTGCAGGCGTTGCAGCGTGCGCAGTGGAAGAACCGGTTAGTATTAAATAAGTTATAGCAGAACCTGTGTGGCGCATAGCAATGGATGAAGAGGTGGAGGCCCATTGTATCACCGGAACGTGGAAGTTGGTGCAGTTGCCCGAGGGGATCATCAGGGTCATTGGGTCAAAATGGGTGTACAAGGCGAAGAAGAACGAAGAAAACCGCATAGTGAAGTTTAAGGCAAGGTCAGTAGCCCAACACTACACGCAACGGTTCGGAGTCGACGTCGGAGAAGTGTTTGCCCCCGTTACTAGTCAACCCTCGAAGAGGATGTTTATATGCGGCAACCGCTGGGATACTTGAAGGCCGGGAAGGAACAGCTAGTGTGTAAGCTTCAGCGCAGCAGCTACGGATTGCGTCAGTCTGCTCGCTGCTGGAACAAGAACCAGCATGAAGTGCTAGTGAAGAACAAATTCAAGACCGCGGTGGCAGATCCCTCTCCGCCTCTACATATATTCCAGACGATGGAAAGGCGAAGGCTCTCCTGTTGGTGTACATGGACGACCTTCTGCTTGCGTCAACGGATGCAGACGAAATCAAAACTGTACAAGAGTGCCTGAATGTAGAGTTTGAGCTGGTCAACCTCGGAGAAGTGCGACATTTTCTCGGGGTTGAAGTACAGCGTGAAGGCGATGCGTTCAAGATCAGTTTGCTTAGCTATTTACATCAACAGATTGTTGGGAGAAGCGAAAACTGCAAAATCACCAATGGAGCCCGGATATTTGCCATTGACCCCGGAAGCCCCTTCGACGATCCAACGAACTACCGCTCGGTGGTTTGCTCTAACTGACCATCGTAGCAAGACCAGATATCGCGGCTTCCGCTGCGATTTTGGGAAAAAAGTTTAGTACGCCAAGCGAAGTAGATTGGGTGGCAGCGAAGCGTGTGCTGCGTTTCCTGAAGAAAACGAGAGACTACCAGTTGAAGATGGATGGATCCGTTGATCAGCCACTCGTCGGGCAGATTGGGCTGGAGATGTTGCAAGTCGCCGTTCTAATTCCGGAATGGTGTTCCTGTTTGGAGGCAGCACTGTTTCGTGGGAAAGCCATCGCCAATAGTCCGTTACACTTTTGTCCATGGAGGCCGGATACGTCACCCTCAGGGAAGCGTGCCAGGAAGCGCTGTGGTTGCGACAGTTACTCGCCAACAAACCGACATGAAGCTTCAACTTAACTTTTGATCGAGAATCCATAACGGCCTATTCAAATGTGCAGCGATCCTGTTGGTGTAGGTATAAAGCTTCATTCTTGACAGCACAGCTCTGATCGAAAGAGCATCTTGATCGTTGCTCCTACCAATAATTCCATCTGAAAATTTTGTATTTACATCCTAGTATGTTTACGAAAGACGGTCTGACGTGTTCAAAAACTAATATTCTCCGAGATTCCTATTAAGATATAGCATTCAACAAATTATAAATTAGTTTGAATTTAACAAATGGTGTTATGAAAAAAAAAGTTGTCATCTAGCCAACTAGACTTACTCCTGGACTGGCTTACCTTAACATTATTTTTCTCATCACCAACCACTCTGACCAGCAGTGAGTTCGCTCCAACGATCTCGTCAAACCGTCAAACCCTTCCTTGTAGCATTCCACAATTATTTTCTGATCGAAACACCAACGGTAAAACTCGTGCTCGGTATCAACACTTCTTTGCGCTGACAGCGGTTCATCTCCGGCAAAGTACTCCGTAAAATGCCTAATCGCATCGTCGTTCCGATCCTCGGTCAAATCTTCCACCTGATAGTCCACAAACTGATCGCAGATGATGCCCGAACGCGTCACGTCACGTGCCCGGAACCGATGCCAAGCCTTCGGATAGGGGACACTAGCAGGACATGATGCTGATTTGAATATTGAGCTCGAACTAAGCACGGAATGCACAGAATAACACCGCATCCAATTCCTTTTCTTGTTTACTAATAAAGAGTGCTGCCCTTGCTGGTATGGTCCAACGACAGATAAGAGCAGTCAATCTGGGCGATGCTTCAAAACCAAGTTTCATGGATGCATTACATTGATACCGAGGAAAAAAAAAACTCGCTTTATTCAATCCTCAAGCTCATGCTCTTACAGTACTTGCTCTGGATGCTGGGAAACTCAAATCTCGCATTCACCTTGGCCAGCTCGGCGTACTCCATCACGAAGGTTTCCTCGAATCCCACCTTGGCGGCCGGAACCTGTGACCCGATGGCTGTGAACACCGTCGAAGTTAAGCTCAGCCCAACGGCCCGGCAGAGGGGAATCCGGGCCCGGAGGATTTCTGTTGCCAGTCCCCGGCCGCGGAACTTGGGCATCACCGAGAGGCCCATCGCCGCCAGGTACTCGTCGACTTGGTACCGTTCGTAGATGTTGCTCCGCTCGGAGAAGTAAAGCACCGAGTCAAGGACGTCCCGCCAGCGGTCGCCTTTACACTGGTGGGAGTTCAAGGTTTGAAACCATATTGAACAATTAAAAAATGCTTGCTACCTACGTTGTAGTCCTGTTTCTCGTCCTTACAGGAAACGTACGTCATGTTGAGGCCGGCGATTTCATCGGATCCTTCGCGGAAACAAACGAGGGCCATCTTGTCCTTGACGAGCTCGCGCCAAATGTCACCGATTTCCTGCACGCTCTGGGGTTCTTCGGCGAGTTCTGAAATAGAAAGGGGAAGTGTTGTTAATTCTGAATGATCAAACTAGGGAGGGCTTTTTTTTCTTCTTGAAGATGATGAGGCCAACCTAGGCCTCAATTCCAATTTAGAATAAATAAAGTACGAAATGTTACAGATTTGTCGAAGCCCTTGTTTGTTTGTATTCCTAATTTTGAAATCATAAAAACCAAGTTTGATGAAGATTTTGAATTGCGGAAGCGTGCTTCCTCAAAAGAAAGAGCACATCTTGATAAATATGTAGTGATCTAGATCAAAACTAATGATGTCAAAAGATAGATCTTATTCATTTGAAAAAAAAACTTTGCCCAATACGCCACACCTCTATGGCTTGAATTTTGGGTGATATGAGGTTTTGTCCGATAAGATGCTTCTACCAAAAAATATGACTGATGTAGATCAAAATTTAGTAATCAAGGTCAGATCTAATGATATCAATAGATAACTCTTATCTATCTGGAAAACTTTGATGAAGATTTTAAATTAATAGCGTGCTTCCTCAAAAGATAGAGCTAATCTAGATCATAATATAAAGATCTAGATCAAAACTAATGATGTCAAAATATAGATCTTACTCACCTGAACAACTTTGCCCAGTACACTAAACCTCTTTGACTTGAATTTTAGGTGGGGGGCGACTCCGGCGTAGTGGTTAGCATCCATACCTCTCACGCCGGAGTCACGAGTTCAAATCTCACCCCGGACAAGTCACGAATGACCCAAGAGTGTTAAAGTGACTATAATAAATAAAAAAAAAAAATCAATTTTAGGTGTTATGATTTTTTTCCGATAGGATGCTTGTGCCAAAAAAAAAGAACAGATCTAGATCAAAATTAAGCAATCAAGGTCAGATCTAATGATGTCAAGAGATAATTGAGGCATTCCACGAAGGTTCGCAAATTGATCCTGACCGATCATTTCCAATTAAACTGAAACTTTGCACAGTTGTTCCTTTTTAGTAAAGATGCCAATTTGTTTTATCAGTTCTTCAAATTGAATCATGACTACTTTTTGAAAAGGGCCTGTGTAAAAATAGTACTAATGTGTTTAAAAATATATATTGCCGAAACGCTTTGTTCGATTGATTTGGTGTTCTCAGCAAAGTTGTAGATATTATTTTGGCAATTGTGTAAAAAATAGGCACTATAAAAAAATTTGTTTGTTTCAATGAAAAAAATTATATTTATTATTAAAAAAGTTAATTTCTCAAAAAGTACATTTTTGAATGCATGCATATTTTATTGCACACTTTGCAAATCCCATCGGTAGTGGACTTATTTTACGATTTTCTACATATCTGAACTGATTTACTGCTTAAATAACTACACATTCAAAATCCGGAAGATCATAACCGCTGGGACAGTTTTATAAATCTTCATTTTTCTCAACAAAAATATGTGGATATGCTAGATATAATGTTGATTCGCTATTACAAATTGTAATAGCGAACCCCGACTACTTTTCCAATAGGGCCTGTGTAGAAAAGCGCTTATAAAATAAACATTTTAATACATTGCAAAAACGGCTTGCTTGATTGCTATAGTGTCTTGCAGAAAGTTGTGCAAAGTTAAAATTCGATTCTAGAAAAAATATACACGGTTAAAAAACATGTGTTTTTAATGCAAATGTAAAAATCGTGAAATTTTCAAAAAATCATAACTTTTTTGTTTTTGAGTTTACCATCACCATACTTTGCCAGTTAGTAGCATACTCTATGAGCTTCAATGAGGCTTTAAACGAAAATTTTCAAAAATGTGCTTTTTGAGAAATTAACTTTTTTAATAATAAATATATTTTTTTTCATTGAAACAAACAAAAAAAATTACAGTGTATTTTTTACACAATTGCCAAAATAATGTCTACAACTTTGCTGAGAACACCAAATCAATCGAACAAAGCGTTTCGGCAATATATATTTTTAAACACATTAGTACTATTTTTACACAGGCCCTTTTCAAAAAGTAGTCATGATTCAATTTGAAGAACTGATAACACAAATTGGCATCTTTACTAAAAAAGAACAACTGTGCAAATTTTCATCAAAATCGGAGCCGACAAATTAATAAAAAAATTAAAAAATACGTCAGTCTGTAGAGAATTGCTCAATTCTTATCTATCTGTTAAACTTGGATGAAGATTTTGTATTAATAGCGGGCTTCCTCAAAAGATAGATCTAATCTAGATATTAATATAGTGATCTAGATCAAAACTAATGATGTCAAAATAAAGATCAACAACTTTACCTAGGACACTAAACCTCTATGACTTAAATTTTAGGGCTATGAGGTTTTGTTCGATAAGATGCTTGTACCAAAAACATAGGACTGATCTAGATAAAAATTCTGAAATCAAGGTCAATTAATTGAATCAAAAGATAACTCTTATCGATCTGGAAGACTTTTGATGAAGAATTTTAAATAATAGCGTGCTTCCTCAAAAAATAGTGCTCATCTAGATCTAAATATAGCGATCTAGATCAAAACGAATGATATCAAAAGATAGATATAATTCACTTGAACAACTTTTGCGCAAGACACTAAAACTCTATATGACTTTAATTAGAGGTGTTATGAGGTTTTGTTCAATAAGATATTTGTGTGTGTGCATGTATGTATTACCTTTATCAATTGGATATTAGTATTACACACACACACACTTCCAGTTTCAAAATGTTCTTTTGAATCCTGGCACGTATTTAGTGTATATAGGGGAAATGGATGTAATGTATGCCTAAATGCCCCTAATTTGGGCCCATACATAAAAATAGCAATCGACTAATTTTTCAAAAGCGAACAAAAATATCAATTAGTACCGTCCCACTGCCGCGTTCATCTAGATAAAATTGATAAATAGCAGATTTTTAGCGATGGGCCCAATCTTAGATCCATAGGCCAACATTAGAGACATTTCCCCTATACATATTTTTTTAATTGAAAAAAGTATTTGGACTGGTCTCACCATGTTAATTAATACTTCCTGAGACGAACACCAATTCTCTTGCATTGCCATGGTCATCTGGGAGGAGGATCGCTTCTAGTGCTTTCCTCAGGAACCTTTCGCGGCCACCAGCTATCACCCCTCCAGTCTTGGGCGTATCCAGCGAGGCATTTTTCATATTGCTCGCATTCTCGGACACCGGCGAGAGACCAGTAGCCGAGCACTTTTGCAAGTGGAAACTTGCTGATTCACGGCAACATCAGCCACAGAATCACCACCAAAACTCGCGACGGATACATTATCAGCACGATCCCGGACTATTTCACCAACCGGACCTCATCCACGGTTAAGAAACTCTCAATAGAACAGAACTACACGCCGTACTCGGAGAACCGGGCTCCCGGGAGGCAATGAAAACCAACACCGAACAATGGAACTGAAGCTGCGTCTTAGTTTTTGGAGGTTAGATTCAATGTCAACCGAGTCACTCAAGGCAAACACAGGCAAAATACGATATATCACTAAATGATAACTTTATGTTTCGTCAACACCTAGGTCTACCGTCTTTGGAACACTCACTTCTACTTCGGATTGTTTTCCGAACAACAAGGTTTCACTAACAATTTTTCGTTTTTCACAGTCCCAAAGACGGTATCCATTTACCGTGTATCCTACATGATACAACCATAGAGGTAACTCTAAGACTAGAAGCTCCCGAAATAACGTGCTCAACTTTTTGGCTCAGCTCTGGTACTCTCTTCGGTCCCAAGCTAATCGATTCACCCCTCGAAACATAGGAAAAACCAATAACCCCTCATTTTATCTGTCAACCTTTCATAGCTTAGCTTAGCTTAGCTTAGTCTGACTGCACGTATCGATAGTTGCACTCCGTGATTGATCTGAACCAGTGAAATTGTACAAAGAATCAACTGAATGGGGCTTGGTAGTAACCTGCCATTCTCAGTGTACATGTTCCAGTGACTCCTACCTTTAAAGATCAATAACGTCACCGGCCACGTCCTTGCAATCAGGTGGGAGAGGGAAGGAATGTTAGTGTGTGACTTTTGTTGTTTTGGGACCGTGTTTACCTCTGCATCCCACAAAAGTCACAGGAAGGAGGTTTTGTTAGTGGGTTAGGTTCGTTGGATCAGGATTCACCTTGATAAGTGATGCGATCTTTTGTTTTGTGTAGTTATTTATAAGTGTTTTCGATTTATGCTCTAAACAGCCGGCTGTCTAGAGATGTAGATCATTATTAGATGTGTGTATACCGATTTAAACCAACAATAAGGATACTGTTGGGGCCCCTCACAAAGTGTGATGATGGTTTATTTTATTTTATCAATGACCAAAATAATTAATTATAAGCGGTTTGAACCGATTTAAACCAACAGCAAGGATGCTGTTGGGGCCACTCACAAAGTGTGATGGTGGTTTACTTGATTGAATATAAAATAATTATTAGAACCGATTTGACCCGATTTAGACCAACGGCAAGGATACTGTTGGGGCCACTCACAAAGTGTGATGGTGGTTTATTTAGTTCGGAAGAAAATGAATATGTATACTTCTTTTTTTTTATATATATAATAGAACGAATTTGTACTGATTCAAACCAAAAGCAAGGGTTCTATTGGGGCAACTCACAAAGTGCGATGGTGGTTTATACTATAAGGGCATAAAACAAAATCAAGAGCCATTTCGGTTTCCATAGCTTCCTAGACACTCGGCCGCAAAATAATCTTATCCGACGGAAACGTCTCGATCATCGCTGCACAATGGTTTATTATAGCATTTATAAAGTAAATTTGAATACCTTATTGTTTATTTATTATCCATTTTGACTTGACTTGGTACCGTTCAGTTTTATGATGACAAAGTTGCCTGGAGAAAAGTGACAGTTCAAAATGTTTCGGAAGGGAGTCAGCTAGTGTCGTCCAAGTTCAAGTGCGGAAAAAATGCCATTTAAAGTGGTACAAACAATTGAAAGATGCGAAACATGCCTAACCGTAATTCTTTCTGGTTGGAAAGAAGCTGGAATCCTACA